CAAATACCAGCAATTATATATTTTATTATTATTACTAAAGAATAAAGCAACTTAATAAGGACCTACACTGGGCAGGAAAGGAATTTTTACATATCTAAGCAATTTTATCACAAAGCCATTTGATATAAGAAATGTTTCAGTGGGCATCTGGGTGGTCCAGTCGATTGAGTGGCTGATTTCGGCTCAGGTCATGATCTCACAGCTCCTGACTTCGAGCCCCACATCGAGCTCAGAGCCTGGAGCCTGCTTTGGATTCTGTGTCTCACTCTCTCTGCCCTCCCCGCTCAGGCTCTGTCTCTCTGTCTCTCTCTCAAAAACAAAGATTTTAAAAAAGTGTTTCAGAATAGGTATACTTTATAGGCTTCTGTATGTTTTACGAATTTTCATATTTACATAAAACATTTCTCAAAACCCTCATGTTTGTAGACGTTTGTGTGTCAAAAAGGTAAAGACAAGCTTTGCAGTAAAACAATCTAATACCAAAAGACCATTAGCTCCTTACAATGAATGGCAGAAAAACAAAACAGAGAAATTCACAATCAAAGCAAGAGAACAAAGCATAGTTAGAGGGAATCTTGAAATTTCACCTCAGGAGAGTAGCTAATTAGCAGAGACTCTCATTTTATTATTTTGGTCCCCAAAGTGGTATGTACAAACAATCCACTGGGACTGGGAAGTAAATATAACTTGTATTTTTATTTAACTTTATCAAAACTTAAACAAAAATTAGGGAGAGGTACATGTACAAAGTATAGCCGAACATGTATATAACTGTTAGGAGCTGAAACTTACCCCCTCAAAATTCATATGTTGAAGCCCTAAGCCCCAGTACCTCAGAATGTGACTAGAAATACTCTTTCCAGAGGTGAGTAAGTTAAAAGAGGCCTTTAGGGTGGGTCCTAATATAATCTGACTGGTATCTTTATAAAAAGAGGAAATTTAAACAGGCTGAGATGCTAAGAATAAACACACACAGTATAAAGACCATGTGAAGAAACAGGGAAAAGGAGGCCATCTAAGCCAAGGAGTTAAGTTTCAGAAGAAACCAATCCTGCCAACAAGGTTCCAGACTGATCTTGGACTTTCAGACTTCAGAACTGTGAGAAAATTAATTTCTGTTGTTTGATCCACCAAGCCTTCGATACATGTTATGGCAGATCTACCAAACAAATACAATAACTTAAATATTTATTGGAAAAGAGGTGTCATAAAAATATGGAGACCACTTACTCATTTACCTAGATCATAAATTCTGTTTCCTCATCAGCACACAGAAAGAATTTACAACTCAGGCTCTAAACAAGCAAATAATTATATTCCTATTTTTCCTTCAATTATAAACAGCTTTCCTTCATGAAAGGAAATTCATTTCTGGGCCACCTGGGTGGTTTACATGGTTGAGTGACCAACTCTTGATTTTGGATCAGGTCCTGATCTCACGGTGGTTCTGAGATCAAGTCTCTCGTCCTCTAGCTCTGAGCTGACAGCAAGGAGCCTGCTTGGGATTCTCTCTCCCTCTCTGCCTCTCCCTCGTGTGCACATGCACTCTCTCTCTCTCTCAAAAATAAACATTTAAAAAATTAAGTAAAAATAAAGGCAATTCATTTCTGATTTCCCATCTCCCCTCTACCCCTGCAAAAGGCTTCCATTAGTGTGTCCACAAAGCCAATGCATTATTGTTATTTTGATAATTTATAATCATACTTTAAAGTAAGTCTTGAAATATCTGAATCTGTTTTTTGGATCAGATGGAATATTTTCTTGATAAATAGTATTAGCAGAATCTCACTTGCAAAGTCTACTCCACATAGAGAAAACTTAAGTATTTAAAGCCAAGGATAATAAAGTTTATAAGCGACAGCTTTATTTATATAAGCAGTTTCATTTTTGATAAGCTTTTGACACCTAGAAGTATTACATTAGTGCAGAACAGGAGAAATTGAATAATATGAAAGACATAGCACATAGAACTAAGTATCAAATAAAATAAAATATTGTCCTAGTAAAAGAATACTTAGTAAGAGATCAGCTGCAAATATAATGGCACATTCTATAATGTTTCTGGGCTATTCAAAATAAATTTTATATATTAAGTCTTTCATTTGACACTTAAAAGACCATTTAATTTTAAGCTTGCAGAAAACATGGCACTTAATTTTTACAAAATTGTAAGTTTGATTCTCCCATGATAAAAGTAAGCAAAATTTTAAAAATTAGTCTGAAAAATTGAGGAAAACACAACAACCAATAACTCTAAAAAAATTCATTATTAATGTTTTGGAACATTTTTTTCTAGTGCTGCTATCATAGTGTCATAGTTAGAATCACTTATGATATTGGATATATGTTATGTATGTCTTTTGCATAAAGAATTATGCAATAAGTAATTATTTTTGAAATAAGTAAAAATATTATCTTTGGATCAGTAGCAGCTTTAACAAAATACAGACATTGGATCATCTAGAATCATAAAGTGATATGATGTTATTTTTAACTGCCTTTAAAATGACAATATTCTTTTCTACAAACATAAAAACTTGTGTGCAGAAAAAAGGTTCCATATAAATATCATTAATCTATTGACTTAAAATTTCTTCCAAAAGTCATATTTGAAAAATCCTTTTCTATTTTATTACCAAAAAGAAATCATTTAAATTTATCAAATGAAAAGCAAAGCAGGATACTGATATAAATTATTTTTATTGTGTGAAAATGTCATAATTCATGATGATTATGAACAAAATTACAGCATATAACAAAATAGGCATTTACTTGTTAAAAGCAACCTGGATTTACAAAACTTCTTTTAAAATATTTTTAGAATGCTTTAAGAATACAAATTACTTTTTTGAGAGAGAGATATAAAACATTTATTTCACTTTATCATATATTTAATTTCAAAATCATTTTTATTCATTTCTAATAAATGAACTCAATAATTACTGTACACTACAGTAATCACTGGTAGGAAACAAAAAAATTTAACCTTTATTTATTCTCAAACTAGATGAAAATTTAAAAGATGGCAAAAGTAAAAGTTCAGTTTTTTAAAAAAAATGACTAAATGTAAATGTTACAAAAAGGAGCCAAAAAGATGTACAAACAAGTTTTTCTCTAAAATCCAATTCAAAATTTACATTCTGCCTTCTTGTGTTGCTTTTCCTTACATTTCAGCCATTTATCAAATTCAGGTTGTTATAAAATATGACTAAAATGTGATTCTCCAAAGTTAAATTTTTAAAGTAAATAACCATATTAAACTGCCTTAGACCTACTTAATCTTATTATTGTTAGATACTAGTATATGTCTGTTGTCAGTACCAGTTACCCAACTTACCAATTTTAACAAGGTGATAAGGATTCATATTGTATTTTCATATTGCATTTTCACCTTGATATAAACGTACACTTTCAATTAATGCAACATTATGAATCTATTACTCAAAGTATATTTCTAAAAGTTTGTCTAAATGCCAGACAAGTAGAGAATTCTACAGATGCCATTCTTTACTGCAAGAAAAGTGCTATTATTTTAAATTGGGAAATTATTTTGGAATTATTTCGTAATTAAGCCAATCTTTTTATTCCTATTGATTAGTTCCCAAGCATTTCCTGGTTATAAAACACAAGTCTCTGTACTTACAGTGGCTTTTTCAGGCTCTCTGCCTCTATTTCCAAGGCACAAAACAATTAGAATAACCTAAAAGAGTCATTGAAGCTTCTGATAGAATGAGGGGGTGACAAGGAGCATCCTGATCTGAAAGGTCTATCTTATAAAAGAGGTGTTCATTAGGAATTTTAATAATATCTCACATAACATTTTTATTCATTTAAAAAGCATATAGGTCAAAAAAGTATTTCAAGTCTCCTTGATTTATTGTGATCATCACAAAAAAAAAAAAAAAAAAGCAAATGACAAAAAAATTGAACTGTCCTTGGGTAGTGTTTTCAAATAATATAATTTGGTAGAGTAAAGATCTAAGAATCTATTTTTAAAAGGCATTACTTTAAAATTAGGTAAAATTAGGGGCGCCTGGGTGGCGCAGTCGGTTAGGCGTCCGACTTCAGCCAGGTCACGATCTCGCGGTCCGGGAGTTCGAGCCCCGCGTCGGGCTCTGGGCTGATGGCTCAGAGCCTGGAGCCTGTTTCCGATTCTGTGTCTCCCTCTCTCTCTGCCCCTCCCCCGTTCATGCTCTGTCTCTCTCTGTCCCAAAAATAAATAAACGTTGAAAAAAAAATTTAAAAAAAAAATAATAAAATTAGGTAAAATTAGAATGTACACTTCAAGAACAATACTATTATGAAATATACCTTAAATCATATAAATATGTCCTGTTTGTGTAGTTCATGTTTGTCAAGTAAATCAACTCCATTTCCAGACACAATTTAAACAAAGCATCTATAGAAAAGTGCACAGGCGATATCATAATAATTAAAATTCTTATAAGTTTTAGAAAAATATAAAAAGTTAAAAACTTAGGTTATAAATTCCCAAGAGTTCCCCTTCCATGCACATGTATCTTACAAAAAATGTTTAGGATACAATAATAAAGACTATTAAACATATAGTAAAGAAAGTGTGCAGGGGCGCCTGGGTGGCGCAGTCGGTTAAGCGTCCGACTTCAGCCAGGTCATGATCTCGCGGTCCGTGAGTTCGAGCCCCGCGTCAGGCTCTGGGCTGAAGGCTCGGAGCCTGGAGCCCGTTTCCGATTCTGTGTCTCCCTCTCTCTCTGCCCCTCCCCCGTTCATGCTCTGTCTCTCTCTGTCCCAAAAAAA